TCCCCCCGGGCCGCCCGGGGCCGGAGGCAGCAGCGCGGGCGCGTGGTCGTTCTCGTCCAGCACGAACACCTGCAGCGTCACGGTGCTGCCCAGAGGAGGCTCGCCCGCGTCGCGCGCGCTCACCTGGAACTGCAGCAGCTCCAGCTCCTCGCGGTCCAGCGGCTGCAGCGCGGACACCTGGCCGCTCTCCGCGTGCACCGACACGTAGCTCGACAGCGCGCGCTCGCCCACCCGCCGCTCCACCAGCGAGTAGGACACCCGCGCGTTCTCCTGCGCGTCCGCGTCCCGCGCCGACACCGTGAAGATGTGGCCGCCGGGCGGGTTGTTCTCCTTCACGAACACCGTGTGCTCGGGCTGCGCGAACAGCGGCGCGTTGTCGTTCACGTCGGCCACCTCCACGGACACGCTGGCTGTGGCCGACAGAGAAGGCGAGCCCCCGTCCCGCGCTGTCACCACCAACTCGTAGTTCGCCACGCTCTCGCGGTCCAGGGCGCTGTCCAGAACCAGTGAATAGTAATTCTTGAAGGTGGACACCAGCTTGAAGGGAACATGGGGTGACAGGGTGCACGTCACCTGCCCGTTGATACCAGAGTCGAGGTCAGACACGCTGATCAGGGCAATGATCGTGCCTAGTGGAGCATCTTCTAATACAGGTAACGATAATGATTTGATAACCAACTCAGGTACGTTATCATTTATGTCCAAAATTTCCACTAGAACAGTGCAGTGATCTGCCATTGGGGGCGTTCCTTTATCTGTCGCTTCTACCTGGATTTCATATAACTTAGTGTCCTCGAAATCTAGGTTACCCTTTACCCTGATGTATCCATTAACCGGGTCCAAGTGGAATTTTGACAGAGTATCTGCTGAGGTGTCTGCATTGAAAGAATACACAATGTCCTTATTTACTCCTTCATCCAAATCAGAGGCGTTAACAATCACTGCGAGGGTACCATTTGGTGCATTTTCGGATAATCGGACTTCATAGACCGACCTCTCAAACGCTGGGGCGTTGTCGTTTACATCCAGAATGGTGATCATCAGCTGAGTAGTGCCGGTGAGCTCAGGTTTCCCGCCATCAACCGCCATTATTAATAAGTGATGCTGGGGCGTATCCTCCCGATTTAAAAGTTTTTTCAACACGAGACCAAGGGATTTAATTTCCTTATCATTTCTTTTAACATCCAAGGTAAAATATTCATTGGCGCTAAGAACGTAGGTCAGCAGCGAATTCGCTCCTATATCTGAATCTGACGCGCCCTCTAGCGGAATCCGAGAACCAGGTGGCCGGGATTCGTAAATAAACAATTTTTTTACAGCCACCGGGAACACCGGCGGGTTGTCGTTGATGTCCTTCACCTCCACCTCCACGTGGAACACCTGCAGCGGCCGCTCCACCACCACCTCCAGGTGGAGGCTGCACTCCGCGCTCCGCCCGCACAGCTCCTCGCGGTCGATCCGAGAATTCACAAACAAAATGCCATTCTGCAGATTCACCTCCAGGAGGTCCCCGCGGCCCTTGGACGCCACCCGGAACAGGCGCGGCACCAGCTCCGCCAGCTCCAGCCCCAGGTCCTGCGCGATGCGGCCCACGAAGGTGCCGTGCTTGGCCTCATCGGGGACGGAGTAGCGGACCTGGCCGCTCCCGGCCTCCCAGATTGAGAGGAGCAAAAGCGAACACAGTAGCCTCCAGGCTCCTGGACCTTCTCTGCAGGAAAACACCATTGCAACCCTCTCCCAAATATCTGGTCTCTCTTGCCTGGATCCAAAATTTAAAAAGTAACTCGAGCTCCTTATTCTTCATTTCTTGTAAAAGCTTCCCATGCCGGTATTTCAGAAATGGCGAGGAAAAGTGACATCTGCGTACGTAATCCACACTGTGTATCTTTTGTGGTGAAAGACCTTGTGGTGGACAGCGACATCATGTGGCTAAATGTGTATTGTTTTAAATAAATAAATTCTCTTATACTTCCTTTGCACTTTCGCAAATTACTATTTTTATTGTAATTTCCTTCAGGCACTCCTCAAAGTCTTTATATTTTACCAGAATATATCCTTAGAACTTTTATTTATTACTTTCAATTCTGCCAATCCATGGCATAGAGTAAAATATAATAAAGTTAATTACTGTTGTAAAAGCAGTGGGCATCTATTGGAAATAATTCCCATTTGACAAGCACTGTTCTATTTGTTTTAATGGAATTATCTCATCAAATCTTCCCAACAACCCTCTGAGATACGTATTAATATGTTTCACATTTTACAAACAAGGAAGTGGAAACACATACAGATTAAGTAACTTAAAAATGATATTAACTGGTGGTGTTTGGATGGGATCTAAATCAGATAGAAGAGCTATAATTTTAACCGATTGGCCTCAAAATCTACATTTTATTTCAAAAACCAGGATTTTGATATTTGTGACCATTAAAATATGAGACATTGAAAACATGTGTGCACATATATCCATATATACATATGTATTTACTTCTATATTATTTAGTCAATTGCTAATTTACCAAATATGTTCACTTTATTACTTATTTATTTATAGAATGTCTATAAGTCATTCATGTGTCTTTTATCTAACAACTACATCCTTGTTAGATGACTTAACTGTTATTTATAAAAAGGTATACATAAGCCAGAAGTCGGTCTTTTACAGTGTGGTTCTTTTGTGAATTTGCTTTTGTTTCATGACAACACTGTGTGATTTGGATATTTGTTACATTCACATCACACCAACTAAGACTATATTAGTTTTAATATTTCCACATCATTTATATGTTTGAATTTACCTATATATCTTAAAATGTTAGTAACATGAAATAACTGTGTATTTAATCATCTCCACTCTATAAATCTCTGGATTCCAGTTTCTTAAAATTTTCTTACTTGGAAGAACTGGTGATTTAACCAATCAGTAAAAAGAGAAAAGTAACTTTAGCACACGATTCACTACTCAATATATGGAAGATGAGGCAATAAAATATTCCAAAGATCTCTGTGAATTCAGTGAGAGGTATGAGTTCTCTGAGCATTTAGAAGTTGAGCAAAGAAAGTCCAGGGGAAAGGTTGAATTTACAGAGGTAAGAGAATGTCCAAATTTTTGTTTACAATCAGACCTTTTTTAAATGAAATCAAACATGTGAATTAAGTATTAGAAAAAAAATTCATACTAGTTTTTTTCTGTGTACTTATTGAATGCAAGCCAGGATTGCAACTTACTCATATTTTATCATTCATATATAGAACAGAATGATCAATTAATGTTTTAATGAATAAATAAGTAAATGTTTTAAATTAACTTTGTTAAGTAATATAAGTAAACAGGTAAGTGACATTAATAATATTTGTTAATATCAAATTTACAAATTTCTAACTGACTATTGTACAAGGTCATGAAAAAGAAGTTCACACTTAATAATTATTTTGAAAAGCATGGGCCTAGGAAATAATTATAGAGATCAATATGCTAGTTCTTTGATAAATCTTGAAAAAGTAGTGAGTTTTTAAATGAGAAACAAACTTAAAATTTTAAAAGATCACATACTTCATATTAATTATTATACAATTAATTGACAACTTATTGTAATACCATACATTGTATGACATTTAAGCTTGTACTGATGCAACTTAAGGAAAATGTAAATAAGGAATAAGAAACACTAAAACTTACCTAGCAAAAAATAATGTGACTCCTGGAGGCCTGGGTACACTGGATATAGTTTTAAAAGTTTGCCATTTAATACAGTAGAAGTGTAGTGGCCAGACCTCCCATAGGAAGAACACCTGACCATTCATACATGCTACACACAAGTCTCAAGGTGGTGTGTAGCTATGATATTCTAGGTGGAATAACTCCTCCCAAGAAAAAGCTTCTTCCTCATTTGTTCAAGCTACTTGTTTATCTCTGTAAATATATAAAGCCTTAGATTAACCTTTCTGATTCCCAGGAAACATATACTCTGAATTTTGAGGCTTATCAATTATAAGGAACTAATAAGTTTCCTGTAGGAACAGACTATCCTTAAATGGAATTCAAAATCTCCCCATCAAACTACTCAATTCCTGTAAAAGAAGATCCCAGATGGACGTTGATATTCTGGCCTCTCTGTGAAGGAGCTATGACTAAGATCACTTCATGGGCCAAACCTGTTTGGCCTGCGGACTGAAAGGTCCCAGGTTTGATTCCGGTCAAGGGCATGTACCTTGGTTGCAGGCACATTCCCAGTGTGGGGTGTGCAGGACGCAGCTGATCGATGTTTCTAACTCTCTATCCCTCTCCCTTCCTCTCTGTAAAAAAATCAATAAAATATATTTTAAAAAATCACTTCGTGGAAATTATTTCTATGACTGATCAATATCCACATACATTTGGAGGGAAATCAGCAAATAACTAAGAACCAAATAGTAGAATACTATTTTATTTCACCCCAAGACATCTTTAGTTGAATTTTTTAAAAATTTCATTTCCAAATGGATTAAAGATGAATTCAGTGAGAGGCATGAGTTCTCTGAGCATTTGGAATTTGAGCAAAGAAAGTCCATAGGAAGAGGTTGAATTCACAGAGGTAAGAGAATGTCCAAAGTTTTGTTTATAGTCAGACCCTCTTTAAATGAAAGCAAACATGTGAATTAAGTACTAGAAAAAAATATTTCATACCAGCTTTTTTCTGTGTACTCAAGCCAGGATTGCAACTTACTCATATTTTATCTGCCGGGAGCCGGTCCATCCTTGCTGTTTTAAGGGACCTGGCATATATGGCATACTGTTTTTAATATGTTTGCTCACCTTCTGGGCGCTGTGTTTTAACCAAGATCACCTCTCCGAGAAAGGTTGTTTCCTCAGGTAGGGATTTTTCCCTGAAGTCAGGGAGGGGATGAAACTCCTTCACTAAGTGCCAGGCGGGTAATTAATCTCTTTAACTACGAACAATCATGCTTAAGCTGCATAATCTTTACTCCCTGGAATGGAGCCTGGCTGGAGAACCTAACCCGAACCTGGCTGGAGATCCTAACCAGAACTTCTCTGGAGATCCATACCAGAACTTGGCTGGAGATCCTGGCTACGCTGCTGATCAACTGAACGCTGTCTCCGTGTCATTCCTTCTTTGCCGACTCCGTCTACACTTTGGGAACCCCTGGACCTGCTGGGGTTGGACCCCGGCATTTATCATTCATATTTAGAACAGAATGAATTATTAATTAATGTTCAATGAATAAATAAAAATTTTTAAGTTTACTTTGTCAAGTAATATAAGTAAACAGGTAAGTTACACTAATAAGTATTAATTAATTAACTAATTAATTAATATGGGGCCTCTTTTCTCAAACAACTCTCTATAGTGCCTTAAAACTCCCAGGATTTTGCAAGTGTGAAATCTCTATCCCAAATAACAGTTTATTTTACTACTGAAAGCCATACCAAAGTGATGCCATGGGTAGTAATGACCTATGATAGATAATTTTGGAGGGCCTATCATTAAAAGATCCATTATGGCTGTTTTCAAACACAAGGAAAAGAAAAACTAATTTAGGAACTGTTTATACAGGTAAAGTCAAATTAATTTTTGATTGAAAGAATAATGTAGGACATGTCCAGATATATAAGATAGTCTTATTCCAACATATTCTTACAGAATGAACGGATGTGTAATATGGGAAATACGTATTAGACAATCATATTCTATACTTTTCTTCCACCTGGGATTTTTAACTTGAGAACAAATATTTACAGGCAATACTAAGTTTCACATTTTGCTGAAGTGTTTTTTAATTCTAAAATGCCTTATTATTCGTGGAGAGGTTCAATTATGTAAAAGCCAAAATGTAAAAATAACAAACCATTGAGTAAATTATTCTCAATGCAAAAAAAAAAAATCATCTCCTATCCATTCCATGTGCTGCACAATAAGATAATGGTATAAAGACAGAGCTTTTAGTGGAAATAAAGAATAAATGAAATAGAACAATTTTAGAATTGACAGGAAAAAATTTAAAAACTCACCTTTCCTAAGTGTTCCGACTCTGAGGGTTGTTGTCTTTCCTCAGCGGAGCCAGGACCCTGAGGGAGGCTGGGGCTGAAGGCCATGAGGTCCGTCTTGGGCGGCCCCTCCCCATAGCACACCCTCTGCCGCCTCTGCTGGGAGGACGACCAGCTCCCCACGGCGCTGGAGCACACCAGCACGGGCTTCCCCGGCCCGCACGCGCCCTCCGTGGGCGGCGCCGAGCACCGCAGAGCCGTGTACAGCAGCAGCGAGAGCACCAGCAGGCTGGACACCGCGCAGATGGCGATGATCAGGTACACGTTCACGTCCACCAGCGCCGCCTCCGCGCTCGCGGAGCCAGAGGACTCCCGCAAAGAGGCCTTCGGCGCCTGGCCGCTGTCCACCAGAGACAGCAGCACCGTGGCAGTGGCCACCAGCGCCGGCTCGCCATGGTCCTTCACCAGCACCAGCAGGCGCTGCCGCGGAGAGTCCGCCTCGTCCAGGGCGCGCGTCGTGCTGATCTCGCCCGTGTACAGCCCCACGCGGAACGGGCTGCGCGCACCGCCCGCCGCCGGCAGCAGCTCGTACGACAGCCACGCGTTGTAGCCCGAGTCCGCGTCCACCGCGCGCACCTTCGCCACCACCTGGCCCGCGCCCACCGACCGCCACACCAGCTCGCTCACCGCGCCGCCCGGGCCGCCCGGGGCCGGAGGCAGCAGCGCGGGCGCGTGGTCGTTCTCGTCCAGCACGAACACCTGCAGCGTCACGGTGCTGCCCAGAGGAGGCTCGCCCGCGTCGCGCGCGCTCACCTGGAACTGCAGCAGCTCCAGCTCCTCGCGGTCCAGCGGCTGCCGCGCGGACACCTGGCCGCTCTCCGCGTGCACCGACACGTAGCTCGACAGCGCGCGCTCGCCCACCCGCCGCTCCACCAGCGAGTAGGACACCCGCGCGTTCTCCTGCGCGTCCGCGTCCCGCGCCGACACCGTGAAGATGTGGCCGCCGGGCGGGTTGTTCTCCTTCACGAACACCGTGTGCTCGGGCTGCGCGAACAGCGGCGCGTTGTCGTTCACGTCGGCCACCTCCACGGACACGCTGGCTGTGGCCGACAGCGAAGGCGAGCCCCCGTCCCGCGCGGTCACCACCAACTCGTAGTGTGACACCTTCTCGCGGTCCAGGGCGCTGTCCAGCACCAGTGAGTAGTAATTCTTGAAGGTGGACACCAGCTTGAAGGGGACGTGAGGTGATAGTAAGCAGGTCACCTGCCCGTTGGCACCTGAGTCGCGATCGGACACCATAATAAGAGCAATTACTGTGC